GAAGGAAGCATCCCTGACGGCTGGAAAACCGGAAGAATTTATCCGATACACAAAGAGATGAGGATCAGGCAAGAAATTGCCGAGGGATTTCACTGCTGGCCCTAGGCTACAAGGTTCTAACACAGATAATCACCTCGAGAATAACCTCCTGGCTGGAGAAAGAAAGGAAACTCAGAGAGAGCCAGGCAGGCTTTAGCCCAAAGAGAGGAACAAGAGACCATATTTTTGTGCTGAACGCATTAATTGAAAACACACTCAAGGAAAAAGGAACGAAGCTGTACACCTACTTCATAGACTTCATGGCTGCCTTCGACCTAGTAGACAGGAAGAAACTATGGAAAAATTGAAAAACATTGGAATTAAAATGAAAATATTACAACTAATTAAAGGAATCTATGACGAGTCCTGGAACGACATCATCACCGGAGGAGGAATCTGAAAAGTTTAGAACCTGAAAAGGAGTACGTCTGGGCTGTCCGCTAAGCCTGGTGCTCTTCGGCATCTTCCTAGATGACATAGACGAAGCTTGGGAGATATCGAAGACTGGTGGAACCGTCATTGGAAAAACCAAAATATACGCACGAAAATACGCAGACGCCATAGCCCTGGAAAAAAAAAGTAACAGAAAAATACGCGAAAAAGAACAAGATGGAGATTAATATCGCCAAGACAAAGATCATGATCTTCAGGAAAGGAGGGAAACGCACAGCAAAAGTGGCACATGAATGGCAAGAAAGTGGCGATTGTTAACTCCTTTAAGTACTTAGGCTTCTGGTACACAACAACAAACTGATATGAGCACCATCTGAAGAAAATGGCAGGGAAGGCATAGAGGGCAATCAACTCATGCTGGAGACTGACTAACAGGACAGGAACGGACACGCTGAAGGGGAGGCTGTTCCTGTACGACACCCTGGCCAAATCGGCCTGGATATACGGGATTGAAGTGTGAGGCTGGAAGAGACACGAGACAATCGAAAAATTACAGTCGAGATTCGTCAAGATGGCCATGGGGCTCAGTCCTAACACCTCAGATTATATCTGGAAACTAGAAGCTGGAAGAAAAAGTCTGTAACTGGAGGCGTTTCAAAAGGCCGGAAGGTACATGCTGGAAAGGATCCAAATGAAAGAAGACCGATGGCCAAGAAGGTGCCTGAAAGAAATCTTCAGAGGAATTATCAACAAAAACCGGGATAGATGGGGGAAAACATTGGAAAGCGCATTTGGCAAAGCAGGTGACGGTGGCATGATAAATCAAGCCCGGGAAATGCTGAGGAATCCCGGGGAGATAGAGAGAGAGGAAGGCTGGAACGACATGAAGAAACAGGTGGAAGAATATGAAAGAATACTGGTCGATCAGGACATACACAGAAGCTGGGAGAAGGTGGCTGCCTCCCCATTTTGCCCACAATATCAGAGCTGGAAGCACACCACGGAAGAAAAATATTGGAGAAGCAGGAAGTTATCAGGAATAATAAAGGAGCAGTGGGCAAGGATGAGATGTGGGAGCGTTGGAAAAAGCCTACATAAAGGCCATAAAGACCTGACGTGTAGACCATGCGGGGTGGCAAACGAGACGATGGAATACATACTGATGTGTGTAGAGGGGCGATCGAAGGTTCGCAGGGAGGTTGCAGAGGCCCTTAAACGTTTTGAGTTTCGGCACGACCTTGCTGACTATTGGGAAGTAGATCTACCTTCGTGGCTTACAGACCACCCAATAACGGAGGTATGCCTATACATCAGAGACTTCCAGAAGCCACCAGCAGACCACAGGGGAGGAGACCCACCAACGTGACGAATTACTGGTATGAAAAGATAGTCAGAGTGACATTCAGTCAACCTGGATAATATGATGAATTACAATTTTGTTTTCATTAACTCTAGTCTCATTCGATCACAATAACATGGAGGAAATAGTGGAATAATTATGTTTTCTAGCGAGCAATGACACCAAAAATGTACATAGAAAGAAATTTTTGTACTTACGGAAATAATTTATTATTATTATTATAATGGTGGCTATCTAACCAAATTGAAAAATTAGTTGCGTTTAATTGAATGTTCTCGAGATATTACCATTTTACTGTTTTAATGTGCTGAGTTTGTCGATATGCCGGAGTGAAAAATTCTGACAGGTCAAGACTAGCTTAGGTCAGGCCTGACGATTGATCATAAAGTGATATTATGACTGGATCAAGTCCTGATCTGTTATGTAACGTGGTTTTTAATAAAGACTTGATCAGACCTACGGGTTTCAGAATTGATTGAGCCAACGTTTTCAAACCGGTTGACCTGTTTATAGAATTTAATAATTATTATTAATAATAACTAATTCAAAATGAAAGATGAATCAATTTTTTCACTATAGAACGCCTCTCCTAATGAATGTTTACCGTTATTACCACTCAAAAAATGTGGCACGAGTCACAAAATCATTATTGTTTCGGAGTTTAGTTAACGCGTCTCGAATATCCCATATCGGCATAATCGAGACAAATATCAATGTATCCTCGTCCCTCACGAAATCTGTGGACAATTTTCGAACCTTCCATAACAAAAGGTATTTAAAGTAGCTCTACGCTTACGGTAAATTCAAAGATTATTGAAAACTACAAAAAAAATTGCAGAAAACTCGTTTAGATTCGGAATTTTAATTTTTGTCTCAATTCAATTATCGTTTTGGTTTTTTAAAGAAGAAATATTTAAAAAACACAATTTAACCCAGTGTCTTATGTGAAAATCAACATTTCCATTGTAATCGAATATGAAAATCGGATTTTTTTTTCATTACATGTGAAAAAATCAAGAATTTTTTTGACACCTCATAAAAAATAATCCACCGTTTTGCAAACAATTTTTATTAGTTATTTATAAGAGGGAAATGTTTGAAAAAAATATCAATATTTTGCGAAAATTTATTTAGATAATACTGACTGGATATGCATTTATCCAAATTTTTTCCTCCGAATTTCGTTGAAAAATTAAAGAAGTGACAATATCCAAAAGTACAGCATAGCCCGATCGAAGGGGTAGAGCGACTTTAAACTCGCACGCTCCTGACGAATAGCCAGTCAGTCAGTCAAAAACACAGCTCAGACAGTCAATAGCACAGTGAAAAGTTCAGTTGAATTCAGTCCGATTTATATATTCGATGTAAACATATCTCTTTACGACAAATACAACGTTTTTATATTCTACAACCACGAGTTCTAATTGTGTCTCCATACACCTAACCGCCACTAAAAATTATTATTTTTTTCGGTGCTGGGGATCAAATCGGGGACCCTAAGATTTCGAATCCTACGTCGTTAACCTTAGTCTGGGCACCTGACGGGAAAATGTGGTTTTAGTCACCTTCACGGGAGAGTGCCGCCGTGCCATTTAGGCTCCAGCGTTGCCAGTCGCTTCTAGCAACCACAAGCACCAGCAACTACTCGGCTGTTGGGGTGGTTTCGACTTCAGTCGATGGCCAGGTGAATAAAATGACCTGTTGCGGCAATTCCCTCGCATGGTGACCAGTCTAGGGTTAACACTAGACTATCGCGCTATTATCATTAAGTAGACTCTGTTTTGCCTATACAGTACAGTCTTTCTATGATTTCGGCCTTGAGTGTAATAATTCTCCGTACTGAAACGTCCCGGAACCCTCCAATTTTCCGTGGAAAACGTGAAAAGTCCCTCACTGCGCATTCCTATCGCGCAGACCGACACATGCACTGACCACTACATGTTAACAAACTCAATAGTGGGGAAAGGTAATTCTACTGAAATCATAGGGAGTATGAATGATAGGGAGACTCTACTGGATACTTTCCCAGGTAAGAATTACATAGGCTGATGATGAGAACAAGCCTCTATGAGCCCAGGGTTGGCGAGGCTCAGTTATTCAGGCCTGGGATAGGCTTGGTTTCATCGTTCACTTGAGCTTCAAATGAGGATGATTAAAGGGGCCATTGGCGAGGCTTAATTCAGGCCTAGTCCAGGCTTTCAGTATTCAGGCTCATTACGTCAAGGCTTATTCAGAGCTCACCAAGGCCTCGAAAATTAAAGTTACTTTCGATTAATTTCCTCAATTGTTATATCAATACTCATTAGCTAATGGTGGTGAAAACATTATCATCATCTACAAACATAGCTATAATTTTCCGCCAAGTTTTCTAAGCTAATCTTAGACCAGGCCTAGAGCAGCTCTTTGTACACGAGACTACATAATTATTATTATCCTTATCTATAGTTAATTAAGCAATCAATTCTGAACTCATAAATCCATCGGACCTCTCATTTATTCAAGTTCAGGAAGTTTAACAAAACTTTATCAACAAAATAACAAAATAACACGACGCCGGATCGAACCCCAGCAGGAGCAAATTTTTAAATGTTCAATTTCATTGTATTTCAATTTCCAGGTATGCGATAATAATCCAGGATAAATTATTAATAGAAACTAATGATTATAATAATTTTTTTTCCATCCATTGTTAATTCACCGACAATCACTACACGGAGAGAAATTGTTGATAAAAATTATCCTACCGTTCTATAAAAGTGTATCATGAGTCATCGTTTCCTTATTTCTATCCCAAAATTTAGTAAAAATTAATATGTGATGATCAAATTTTATTCTACGTTTGAGAAATTTTATCCTAACGCATAATAAATTTTACCCTTCCAGTCCAATAATTTTTATGTAGATAACAACGAAAATTCTATAACGGTTGGTAAATTGCACCCTACCGGTACAGTAATTTTTACTCGGCCGGCACAATAATTTCTATTTTTATCAGAATAAAATTTCTCTAACGTAGAATAAAATTTGATCATCATGTATTAATTTTTACTAAATTTTGGGATAGAAATAAGGAAACGATGACTCATGATACACTTTTATAGAACGGTAGGATAATTTTTATCAACAATTTCTCTCCGTGTAGTGATTGTCGGTGAATTAACAATGGATGGAAAAAAAATTATTATAATCATTAGTTTCTATTAATAATTTATCCTGGATTATTATCGCATACCTGGAAATTGAAATACAATGAAATTGAACATTTAAAAATTTGCTCCTGCTGGGGTTCGATCCGGCGTCNCAATACGGAATTGTTTATACTAATATCTGTAAACAATACTTCAGTTTATTTAGCTGACGCTCGATTGACCCTTTGAAATTTGATAATTCAAGGCTTGAATCAAGCCTTGGCACCAAGCCTCGTTCAAACCTTACGGACTAAGCCTGAAACAAGGTTATCATTTTAGGGCTGAAGGAGGATTGATCCAAGGCTGAGCCCCAGCCCTGATTGAACATTTCCGAGCCTTGGTCCAGGGCTTGATGAGCCCTGTTTCTATCGTCAATTCTTACCTGGGTTATATCAGAGTATTTGTTGACTTCGGAATTCTTTATGATCTCGACGATTTGCGCGTATATTCTGGAGATAAAATCCACTTTCTTTAAATTACTGCATTTAATCAATGAATATTAATCTTAATTATCCTAATACGAATGAACATATGGGGGCTTTATCATTTGTGTTTTCTCCTCAAAAAAATTTGCTTCAAAGTTTGATACCTCCACTATATGTAGTTAAGGCGATTGCGGTTCCATGCTTCATCCATGTTGTTACATAGATATTGCATGCATGTGCATAGATGTGGTATTAAGACGAAAAGCAGACCAATAAAGACTAAAATAGGATCAGAACAATTCTGTATGGGGTATTCCATGTGAACTCACCCAGGTCGAAACCCTCACCCTCGCCAATCATATTGCCGATTTTTCCTGTGGTTGTGTATGGAAAAATATGACTTCTCAAATTTTTTCAGATTTTTTGAGGCATCCTGTCAGCAGCCATGTTTTTTTGCAAGTTTTATCTTCAAATGCGTGTAACTTCCGTAAAAATCAACCGATTTAAGTTTTTTTCTTACAAAATGTGCGTCTTCGAATACACTTTCCATATAAAAATATGCCAATTTTTTTCAATTCGTTCTTCCATCGATTTCCTCAGAAAAATCTCAAAAAACTTGAAAAACGCGTCGTTTTCAAAGTTGGACCCTTTTTATATTTTTCAAAAAATTTCAGTGAGTATATTGGACCAAAATAAAATTTTTAACCAAAGGCCAAAGTGGGATCTCTATTAGAACACACCACTCGGAAAGATTTATTGTTAACGAATTTTCAAAAAGTCATCAAATTGTTCCAGATTCGAATATAATGCAGTGATTCTTCAGGCGGTAAATTCAAATAATGCATTTAATTAGTGAATTCATTCATTCACCAGTGTTTGGTGAATGACTAGATTTAGGGTGGATGTGGGATGAAAATGTGGAGGGAGATGGGAAAATTATTGATGAGCCGGATTTAAAATATCACACTTTATTTTGTGGGATCGAACCACTTTGTCAAAACTATTTTGAAATTTTTGAAATTTTTCATCCCCGATTCATATATTCAAATTGGAAATGACGGCCACGAAATGGGAAGCCCACTTTGGCCTTTGGTGGAAAATTTTGTTTTGGTCCAATATATTCACTGAAATTTTTTGAAAAATATAAAAAGGGTCCAACTTTGAAAACGACTCGTTTTTTGAAGTTTTTTGAGGTTTTTCTGAGGAAATCAATGGAAGAATGAATTGAAAAAATTGGCATATTTTTGTATGGAAAGTGTGTTCAAAGACGCACATTTTGTAAAAACAAAAATTGAATCGGTTGATTTTTACGGAAGTTACAGGCATTTGAAGATGAAATTTGCAAAAAAACATAGCTGTCCACAGGATGTCTCAAAAAATCTGAAAAAATTTGAGAAATCATATTTTTCCATATACAACCACAAGAAAAATTGGCAATATGATTGGCGATGGTGAGGGTTATGACCTGGGTGAGTTCACATAGAATACCCTGTATATATTTTAAGACTACGTATTTGATCAAAATAATACCCGTTAGTTCTTTATTTTACATTAATTACGCGAAATTAATGATAGTGTTATATATTATACGCAAGGCATAATAAAAGAATGTGGCTAGATGGCGGAAGGATTAAATGACGGACTTGGGGCCATTTTGTTAAAACTAACCATGTTTAACTACACTGATAGAATGATTCATTTATTCCAAACGAGATTCGTTAACTATTAACGAATGGTAGAGTTGAATATGACCAAATGAATATTCGTTAATAGTTAACGAATGGTTCACTTGAATGGCGAAAGTCAAGTCAAACAAGGCTCCTCAAATATACATTCGTTAACTATTAACGAATGAACATTTAGTGGAACCGAATAGACCCTAACCTCCAAGGAAAATCCATTCGTTAATAATAACTAATCCGTTCTATCAGTGTAGTGTAATAGCTAACCCGAAAACTGGCCGAGTGGGATCCATTCGATGGAAAACTGTCAGCAGTTACAGAGCAGCCGTCTGCCGAAACAGTCAAGAGGAGGATGCGGGACATATTTTTCATTTAATGTCAGTTGGAAAAATTGTTTTGAAAAATGAAAAAGCCATTTAAATAAATGTAAAGGGGAACTTCACTGACGTGAGATGTTTTAGGGTTCCAAGACGAAAGACGAAACAGACTTATTTTTGAATGGAGACATCAAATGTTATCTCATTGTTGCGGAAATTTTGTTTTAATTGCTTTGCAAAATGGAAAAAAAACCGACTCCGAAAATAACACTTAGATACCTCGCCATAATCTGAAACGCCGAGATTTAGTATCCAGTAGAAAAAGTTTTTTTTAACTTTTTGAGTCCGATTTTGAATTATCAAAATTCACTTCAAAAATCGTAAAAAACACGCCTCATAAAGTTATACTCATATGACTCAGCGTATTGTGAAAAGCCAATATTTACTATCCAGTGAGGAAGAGTTTTTTTGAACGCGACGAGTCCAATTTTAGATTTTCAAAATTTCTTTCATAAATCGTAAAAAAAACGTCACATAAAGTTATGTTCAGAGGAGTCAGCGTGTTGTGAAACGCCGAGATTTACTATCGAGTCAGGATTTTTTTTTCAAATTCCATTCAAAAATATCAAAAAAAAAAGTCTCATAAAGTTATGCTCTGATGATTCAGCGTATTGTGGAACGCCAAGATCGAGATACGCGGCAGCGTATCGGCCAAAAAAACTTTTGACTCGGATTGTACAAAACATCAGGCCGGTCGCTGCCGCGTATCTATACACGAAGCAACTACCCCCTCCACTACCTCCGAATCATATCCATTAAATAAAATACAAACGTCCCATTCAGGATTTGCCGATATATTCAATACGGGCAAACATCAGTCCAATATCCGGTCGCTGAATATCGGGGCCCGATGAAAGGCCAAAAATCGGCCCAATATCTGCTCGCCGAACATCGGGGCTCTGATCAAAGGCCAGACATTGGTCCAATATCCGGACACCAAACGTCGGGGCCCCGATGAAAGGCCGCTCCATGGCCGATGATCGAACCGACTTAATATTTGTAGGCTATTTTTTGAATAAATGGATGGATAGCATGCATTCATCCTCTTTCCTAATATACAGACTATAGATATCGATACTCCGAATGAAAGCCTAAATATTTTAAGAATAATAAGAATTAATTATAAATTAATTAATTAACTCTTCTCATCAGAGTTACAGTTTCATTAACCAATTATTGATAATCACATTCGCGGATTCAAACAAACACACCATGTGGTATTTATATCCCCGAAAAGAATTTGTCTTCCTAAGAAATTTCAGATGGCTCAGTGGACAGCGTGCTTAACTACAGATCGGAAGAACCCGCGATGGAATCCCGCCGCGGGCAATTTTTAATTTTTTTTAATTTAATTTTTTTCTTTTTTGGTTTGCTGGAATGTTTAAAAAGGGATATAAAATGATTATAAACTATAGGAACTAATATGTATGAACGATTTTAAAGTTTGTTTCACTGATGGTTGGCTGATAATCGACGCCAATATTGGCCGTACATCGGTGTCTATGATGGCCCGTGATAACATCCCAACGTTCGGTCGAACATCGGCCGAAGATCGCAACCGATTATCAGGGAACTCGGCGCCGAGTTTGGCCCGATGTTCCGCCACTTTGTATTGCCCTGCATGGGGTGACGAGCTACATGAAAAATACTCTTAGTTACATTATATAAATTGGCCACAAGCTTCTCATTGATGTAACTATTTTTTTCTTCGAAGCCATCTTTAAAAAAATACGCGCATAGCAACGGATTCATATGCACATTCTCGCATTTCACATCAACTCCTATCATTTTTTTTGTTACGGAGTTGGTAGTAGTGCAATACAACGCACGCACCAAGGAGGAAAGTCCGGGAATTTACAAATTGAATATGATGCGTGAATGATGAACTCCACAGATATTTTTCAATCGAGTCTCGTGCACAAATGAATTCTCAAAGAAGCAAATTCAGTCCGAAAATCTTGAATAAATAATTAAAAGTTGGTACAAATAACGACTGTAAAATAGAACTATTTGTTTTACTTCGATTGTTAATTGGAAAGATGATTTATCGTGTGAAAAATAAATGAACCGAATTGAATTGAAAATGAAAAAAAATTACAGTATATAAAAACGATTTCTTGTTTATTTTGAAAAAAAAGGAAATCTCCCTAAAAAAACAAAAACGAAATGTTTTTGCAAAAAAACTGCGCCAAGAAAAAGATTTGTTTGGTTTTTACTGGGAAGTATAAATTTTTGAAAAATACAAAGAAATTAAAAAGAAAGCCAAGTCAGCAATGTCGAATAAATGAAAATAGTGCACAATCAGATTTCTATAAGAGAAATTGTTTCAAATCGAATGATGATTCAAAAAAAATTCTTGATGAAATAAAAAATTAGTAGAAGGAGGACCAACGTTCTTGGCGCGGAGTTTTTCAACTGATTGTCTAGTATCAATCTAATTCTCCATCTACTGATCCGCGCCAAAGACGTTGGTCCTCCTTCTACAAATTTTTTATTTCATCAAAAATTTTTTTTAAATCCACATTCGGATTGAAACAATTTCTCTTATAGAAATCTGATT